CAAAAAAGGTAACCTGAATCTAACCATAGGCAACAGCAGAGAAGCCCAAACTGAGGGACATTCTACTATGTTACTGGCCTGTACTCTTTAAAAATGTCTAGGTCATGAAAGACAGGGAACAACTGAATAACCATTTCACAAAAGAAGATGAAGAGCCATTGATAACTAAATGTAATGCATGATCCCGGATTGGATTTTGGACAAGAAAACAATATATATATTTTTTTGCTACAAAGGGTAACTGATAAAATTTCAGTATCTACAGATAATATTGTATAAACAATCATTTTATTTTGATAATGGTATGGTGGTTATATAAAACAATGCTCTTGTTTTAAAAAATGGTAAAATGGGCAAAGGTAGTCAAATGGTACAAATGTTTAGTTATAAAATAAATAAGTCATGGGAATATAATGTACAGTATGGTGACTACAGCTAGTAATACTGTATTGTATATTAAAAAGTTGCAAACCTGGGTCAAGGGTCTAGGAAACAGGAAATTCTACCAATCTTTCAAACTTTTCTGTAAATCTGAAATTATTTCAAAATGTTCTTTTGTCTCAAAAACCTATCCTATCTTTAAGAAGAATATCTGTATCAACACAAAATATTGGTTTAAAAAATAAATAAAAACCAGTAAAGAAATTTTCTTTGCTGCTTATGAAATTTGCAATTTTAAACAAATACGAGTACCCCTGTGGTGTGGACAAGTATTAACACGAAGAAGTGTGCCTTTTTGTACACTGATGGTAGGAAGGTAAACTGGTGCAAGTTTTCTAAAAAAGCATTATGTCCATAATTAAATGCTTTTAAAATGTTTATATCCTGATAAAAATATCTGACAAAAAATGTTTATATCCTGATAAAAGTATCCTGATACAATATCATTCTTAAATGTAAAGTATTAAACACAGTCTTTTTAAATATTAAGAACATGACAAGAAGTCCTAATATTAATACTTATCAACATTACTAGTATTAGACATTACCCTGGTGGTTTCTAGCCAGCTCAGTAAAACAATATATAACATTAGAAATAGAGAAAAAAATAGAATTTACAAAATAGAATTTTCTATATAGAAAATTCAGAAGAATTTACAAATTATCAGAATTATAAGAATTTACAAATTACGAATTATCAGAATTATAAGTGTTAGCAAGGTAGTTGAATATGTTTAATATACAAAAATCAACTGCATTTGTAAACATCAACGAAAATCAAAATACAATTTTTTAAAGTCACATTTACAACAAAAAGTTACTTAGAATTTAACATAACAAAAGATATTCAAGACCTCTATTCAAATAATATATAATTTTATATATACCTTTATTCAAAGGCATTAATATATATAAATGGAGTTATCCCAATTTCAAGGCTAGGAAGATTCAGTACTATAAAGACATCAATTCTCTCCATATTAACCTATAGTCAATGCAATTCCAATCAAAATCCTAACAGGGTTTTTGAGGAATTAAGATAAGCTGATTCTAAAATTCATAAGGAAGAACAGAATTCCAAGCACAGCCCACATTCTCCTGAATAATAAAAGAAGGTTTAGCCTTGAGGGTAGAATCTGGCTGAATGCCCTACCAAATATACTGAGGGTTAGAACTGAGCTACAGAAATGAAAACAGCGTGCTCTTGGCACAGAGACAGACAAATTAGCCAGTGGAACTGACGTGAGAGCTCAGAAGCAGACAAGACTTAAATATGCCTACAGTTCCACACTCAACTCTCCCTGTAGTCTGTTCTCCACATAGGAGTCCTTAGGATAAGACAGATTATGCCACTTCTCTGCTCAAAACTCTCCAATGGTCTCCCTTATCATTAAGAGTGCAAAGTCCATGCAAGCCCCAAGGCCTTGACCTCCTCTCCTCCAATATCATCTCTGAATAGTTTCTACCCTGGCTTGCTTCACTCCAGCCACACTGACCTCCTTTCAGTTTGATATATAACAAGAACGTCACAGTTGTCCCTAATCTTAAATATTTCTTTGTCACTCTAACATTTACTTTACGTCAGATTCTTAATTGATTTCTCATTCATTTATAAAAAATGTTTTTGAAAAAAATGCAAGAGAAAACACACTACTTTAGAAAATTTTAATGAAATCACAAATTTTAAAAGGATGACTATGACTTTCAGAGAAAATGGTTACAATTTCAGAAGAAGAAATTAATAAATATTTATTCTATTCATTCATTTCTTAAACAAGTAACTACTGACTGCCTAAAACGTTTTCTGGAAATAGGTAAATAAGACACACACAACAATGGTGAACATGATAGGCAAGATCCTTGTCTTCACGGAGCTTTACATTTTGCTAAGAAAAAGCACATTATTATATTTAAAATTATTATACTTAAAATACAAGATACTGATTCATGTTATGAAGGGGGAGAAAACAAAGAGTGATTACCCAGACTGAGAGGCCTCTCTAAAAAGGTGGTATCTGAGGTGAAATATCAATAACAAGGAGCCACCCGTATGAAGATCTAAAGTCAGTCACATTCCAGGTAAAAGATGCTCAGTTTTCTGAGAATGAATCATTCTTTCATTTTCTATGGCTAATTTGGAAGAACTCCCAGGAAATATTTATTCCACTCTCCACCAATAATGGTATGGCTCATTTCAAAGGAAATGAGAGATAAAAATTAAATCATTCCCACTATGAAGACTCAGCACCCCAAAAGTTCTGTATGGAAACATATATAAAGAACATTTGGTCCCACCTATTCTCTGTGGAAATCAAAATTGAGTAATGAAAACTGGGACTCAGAATTTAAATGTGTGAGTAAATACTTAATATAGGTGTCAAGAACACTCTTTTAACTACCAGTATTCTGACTGAGGAAAGAAAAAAAATATGCCAAATTGAATTTAACTATGTCAATGGAAGGGGCAACTTAGTAGATGTGACAAGCTTAGGGAGCTACTTGGCAGACCTTACAATCTCAGTGACATCCCAGGCCTACAGCTTAGTGAAGGTCAATCTTTACCTTCGGTGAGCCCTGTTCATTGTTCTTACGCATCCAGGTAACATACCTTTGAAATGTCAGAGTAATTTTCTTTCCCAGACCCTTAGACAGCACAATGGCTGGCGCCAGAGCACAAGACCACAGAACTCCTCACTCTTCTCTTGTTGCCCACATACCATCTCTATGTGCTGTAAATGTTAAATGTTAATTCTCCTGTACTTGCCAGAGTAAAAGAAGTATGTGTTTCTACATTTTGCTTTTTATCCAAGCCTGGAGCTTTCCCCACTTTGCTTTCTCCTGCCTCCTTAATCTACTACCGATGGATTTCATATAACCTAGGTTACGTTTTCTCCTTTGATTCTAAATGTATAAAATGAGCTGCAAAACTGCCATTTTCTGGAGCATTTTCTCAAACCACTGAGATCTTGCTTCCTCAAAAATCTGGCTCAAATAGAGCTGGAACCAAAATGGCGTAGATGACAGAGGCTCTGTTCATCCCTCTGGCGACCAAATCAAAGTTGTGACGGAAACAAGGAGCAGTAGCAAGGAAAAATCGCCTGTGATCTTGATGAACAAGCCATACATCTAGGGAGAAATCAAAGAAAATACCCTGCAATGGCAGAAGGTAGGACGGGGCGAGGACGCGGGGCTGCCCGGTCCAGAGTGGCTGAGTGAGACGGAGGCTGCGGCAGCGGCAGCGGCAGCGGCAGATGCCTCTTAAAGGGGCTGCATCCACGAGTGGATTTTCGCAGCGCCGGACCTGCTCGCTCTGAGCACCAGTGCGATTCGGCTGCGCCCA